CGAGCCTGAGGGGAATGGGAAGCATGGGCAGAGCAGCTGCACCACCAGGCAAGGAGAGACCTGACCTGGAAGGTGTGAGCTGGGCCAGCAACACTCTGCCCTGGGCAGCACCTCCTGCTCCCCTTGGTGCTGTGCTGGAGAGGCACAATTCCTACCACTTCGCCCATAACAATAGCTGGAATGGGAAAAATCTCTTCCGTTCCTCAAATTATTATCAGTTAAAATCATTGCTGTGTTAAGATCTCTGTCCCTGAGAGAAAGGGGATGTCTCTCTCCCCCTCAGGATGGTCCCACTGGCTCAAGGCTGACAGATCTGGGCAGAGCTCCACAGAATAGTGATTTGCAATGTTTAATCCCAATCAGAATATGAAGTTCTGACGTTTTCAATGTAGTATTTCAGAAGGAAAAGTCCTTTGTTCCAGGCCAGACTGGGAGCAGCCTGGGCTGGTGGGAGCTGTCCCTGCTCAGGGCAGGGTGGGACTGGATGGGCTTTAACCCTTCCAACCCAAACCATTCTGGGATTTCTGGTTTTATTCCCATTTTACTCTGTAAAATTACATTTAATCCATACATTGTGTCACCTTACTTTGATTTGCTATAATTTCACCATCATTTCCATGCTGAGCAAAATAAACATTGAATTGAAAAATCCAAATGCCTCTTGAACAATTTACTCTATTCCTTTTCCAACTGAGGGTTGGTTCAGTATGACAATCAGAGCATGAGCTGCTGTCAAGTCCAGCTGTGTGTGTCCCTAGGATGTCCCATGCCATTAAACTCCTCAGGGATGGTCTGTACAGTGTGGCAGGAGAATCTTCTTGTGACATCTACAGCAACTTATATCTTAGTTAGAACTGATTTATCCTTATCTATATCATTACTGTCAACAGAGAAGAGCTTTAAAATTATAATACATATCTCCTAGTACCATTTTACATCCTTTTTACATCCCATCAGAGCCACAAATGTCTAAATATTTGCCTGAGGCTTCAGTGGTTTTCTGCTACAGTAGCATCCTACCCTAAGCAAACATAAAACTATTCCCATTCAGGAGAAGCTCTGCCCAAACAAGGATGTTTTCCCTCTGTGCCAAGCAGAACTAATCAGAAAACTGAAACAAATTCATCTTGGCTTTTTCGTTTCTTCTGGATAAAAGTCTTGATTTGTTACAGAAAATGCTTTAGGAGTAAGAGAAAGGAGGAATTTTCATAGCTTTCTAGAGCACCACAAAGTTAAACTATCTAGAAAAACTTAGAAATATTAGTCTAGCTTAGTTTCACTCCTGTATCTCAGTGTAACTCCAGCTCACAGTGAGGTTAGGAAGATTCTAACATCAAGAATTCCAAGTACAGCTGATAAATGGAGCAGAATGAGGTGTATGAAAGGGTGAGTGGGTGGAAGTCTGGGAATACTCTGGCAAGAATTTGTCTCTACTCCTGGCAGCCTGGGCAGCCAGTCACTGCCCACCTGGGCATTTGGGAGATTCTCCTCAGGTCTGTGTGGCAGCTCTGGAAAAGCAGCTCCACACTCCAGCCACAGCAGCTTCTCTTCACTGAGGTTCAATCCAAGTGGGTCATGCCTGAAATGCCAAAGTTAACCTTCTCCACAAACCTGGCACTGGGAAGGACTCTGGCAAAGCAGCCTCAGATTCTCCTCGGGATGCTGATCCCAGGGGGATCCTGGTCCCAGAGGTAAAGGCAGTGTGTGCCCCCGAGGGCTGGGCAGAGCCTCCCCAGGCTGGACTGCAGCCACAGGGTCAGGGCACAGCTAGCAGGGCAAACAGAGGTGCCTGGAGACAACAAGGCATCACATCTTATTACCAATTCCCTGGGAAAGCCAACAGCCCTCTCTCCCCTCTCCAAAGGATGCTTTACTCTAATTACATCTCACTTTATTAGGCAGCTGAGGCAAAGAGCACAGTTGATGCTAATGAAGTGCTGCTGTGGTTGAGTCTGTCCCTATTTTTGGACCTGCACATCTCCAGCACTTTTGATTGGTGACAGAGGCTTTGGATGTCTCTGGCTTCTTCTGTGGGGGCTGCACAGGGAAAAGCAGTGACTCAGCGAGGCAGGACTGCAGAGCTGTTTACATGCTGGGAATGAGAGAGGCTGGGGGACAGCCAGAACACACACACAAAAGCTCTTTATGTGCTGCAAGGATTTTTCAGGTACTGGACAGCAGCATCGAGACTGGAAAAGCCTTTCTCAATATTCACTGGGTTTCTGTGTGGGGTTTGCCTGTTCTCCATCCCTCACCCAGGAGCAGCTCAGGAGGAACTAAAGGAATGTGTTTGAGAGGTTAGACAGGCACATCACAGCTGTGCCCTGGCCACTTCTCCTTACCCAAGGTGGTTTGTCACCTCCACCTCCTGCAGCAAAGCCCAAGGAGCTGCTCTGCCCAGGAAGCAGGATTTGGTGTTCCAGTTTTGATGGAAGAACCCCCAGGCCAGGGCTGGCCCCACACCCCTGGCGTGACACCAGCACTCAGCTGGGCATGCTCCCCCACACCCTTGGTGTGACACCAGCACTCAGCTGGGCATGCTGACTCCAGCCAGGGATCAGCACTCCTCCCTCCCTGCCCAACCTGCAGGGCTGTCCCTGGGCACACAGGTGACAGGACAGGGCAGCACGTGAGGCCATTTCTCCACACCAGGATCTACCAGACACTTGACTCCTATTTCCAAATCACTTCCTGACAGCACACTGGGAGACAAGGCCTCTCCTTCCAGTAAACAAGGTTTATCTTCCAGGGATCATTTAGACTCTTCTGACACAGGAATGAGGAATGTGTGAGGAACACCGTTTGTTGCTGCAACTTCCTCATTCCCAGAGGGAAGGAAGGGAATGACTGGAGCACTAGCACCTCCTGAGTTGTTTGCAGACTCTGCAATACCATGTGCTGATACAAACTATGCTGATTGTGCCTGTGGTTTGGGGCTTTTCCCATCTCAGTGTTCCCAGGTTCAATTTTTTAAACTTTTGAAGCATATTGGACTCACATTTTTCCTAGGTGACATAAGCAAACTTCCCTTAGCACCAGCAGAGAGGTGTGTGCAACCCTTCTTTATCTTTTCAGAGCTGATTTGTGTAACCAGACCAGTCCCACCACAGCAGGAAAATCTCCCATCAACTTCCAAAACCTCTGCCCATACCCTTTATCCAAAAAATCATGTCCAGCAGGAGATGTAACTCATCACAGATGGAGTTCCAATGACAGGGAAAAATAAAGAACACAGGGGAGAACTCAGCACAGAGCAACAGGCTCCAGCAGCCTAGAGCTGTGCACAGGGACAGTGGCTCACTGCCTCCC